GATGTTGAGCATCTTGCGAAGACAACTATTCATAAATACTTGTACCTTCTTGATGATGGTTGTAGTAGTTCTCCAAGTTTCAGCTCCGTACAGTAGAACTGTCTTGATGTTCGTATTGAAGATTTTGACTTTGATATTGGTTGAAAGTTGTTTTGAGTTCCATATGTTATTCAATTGTAGGAATGCGACCCTTGCTTTGCCGATCCTCGCCTTTACGTCTGCATCTGAACCTCCTTGTTCAAATTGTATAAAAAGTCAAATGATTTGAGTTAATATCAATCTTGTGAAATTAATTAGTTATCTGTACGCCTGATAACTACTGCATCCTTCATCCGGTTTAGCAACACTCTATTGAAGACGTTCCCTGGTATTGACAGTAGTGTAATGCCTCTGTAGTTTTCACATTTGCTCAGATCTCCTTTCTTTGGAATCTTCCAGTCCATCGACACTTGTTCATCCTCCCAAATCTTTTTGAACAGAAGGTGAAGCATGCTTGTGGTTGCTTCGAGGTCTGATTTCAGTGCTTCAGCTGGTATGTTGTCGGGTCCTGCTGCTTTCCCGTTCTTGATTTGTCTGACGGCCATTCTAATTTCTTCCGTCGTTGGTGGATTGACATCTATAGGAAGATCGATGTGTGCTGCTTCGATGTCCGGTGGATTCATTGGAGCCGGCCTATTCAGGAGTTCCTCGAAGTATTCTACCCATCTGTTACGCTGTTGTTGAATTTCGGTGATTGGCTTGCCTTCTTTGTCTTTGACCGGCCTCTCTGGTTTACTGTATTCCCCTGCTAGTTTCTTCGTTGTATCGTGAAGCTGTTTCATATTTCCTTCTCTAGCAGCTTTTTCTGCCGTCGTTGCTAGTTCTTCCACGTATTTCTTCTTGTCAGCTCTAATGCTTCTCTTCACTCGTTTGTTTGCTTCTATGTATTCAGCTTGTGCTTGGACATTCTCTGCTCGTGTTTGGCTGTTGTTTATTGCTGCCTTCTTGTTCTTCCTTTCTTTGATCTTGTCCAGTGTTTCTGTAGAGATCCATTCCTTATGATGGTATTTCTTTAGACCCAGAACCTCTTGACACGTCGAAGTTAATGGTTCCTTGATGCCTTTCCAGTTGTCCTCCATAGTAGTTTCTTCTTCTTTCAGTAGATCTTGTAAGGCTTGGAACCTGTTGTTGAGAGCTATCTTGAATTCATTGAGTTTGACAGTATCTCGAAGGAAGGCTGTATTGAACCTTTGTATTGCTGTTTGTCCACTTGTCCAGTTCTTTTTTAGCTTCAGTTTCAAATTGGCTACAACTAGGTGGTGATCTGAAGCTACGTCATCACCTCTCCCGGTTCTCACATCTTCCAATGTCCTTCGGAATTTTTTGTTGATGCAAATATGATCTATTTGGTTCTCTGTAGTGTGGTCCGGTGAGATCCATGTAGCCTTGTGTATACGCTTGTGTGGAAATATTGTGCCTCCTATGACCAATTTGTTGAATGCACATAGATTTGCAAATCTTTCTCCATTTTCGTTCCTCTCTCCCAGTCCATGTCGTCCCATAATATCTTCATATCCAGTGTTGTCTATTCCGACTTTGGCATTTCGATCTCCCATTAGAATGGTGAGGTCCTTTCTTGGGCATTTCTCAATGATTGACTGCAGCCGCTCGTAGAACTGATCTTTAATTTCGTCGTTGCTATCATTGGTGGGTGCATAACATTGGATAATATTCATTGTGATCCCCTCCTTCTTTGTTTTGAATGATGCTTTGATGATTCTTGATCCGTGAGATTCCCATCCTACAAGTGCATTTCGTGCTACTTTGGACAGCATAAGAGCGACTCCCTGAGTGTGTGGAGCATTGTCCTCTTCGTGACCGGAGTATAGCAGCATCTCTCCCGTAGCTAGCCTTTTCTGTCCAGCTTGGGTCCAGTGGGTTTCGCTGATTCCCAGTACTGCTAAGTTGTATCTCCTCATTTCCATTGACATTTGACTGGTCTTCCCGGTTTCCCACATTGTTCGGACGTTCCATGTACCTATAAAATTTTTTGCTCTGGTTGTTAGAAGGGGCATCGGCCTCGTGGCTCCCGAAGGAACTCGGCTTTCACCATGAAGCGTCATAATTCTTCTAAATGAAGACCTTCTAACTCCCAGGGCAGAGTTAAAATGGTTTGGATTATTTTTTCTGGTAAGCGTTTTTTTAGCGAGTTATTTTTCTACGGGATGGGGACGCTAACCTCATGCCCAACCCTCCTCCTTTACCCGGGCTTGGGACCGGCAGCAACTCTATAAGAACTACAGTCGGAGTTAGTTTCTGGTTAGTGCTTAGGAAAAATCCTATTCAGAGTACTCATTCGTTTAAATTTTTAACCAAATATATCTGTTTCAATGTAAATGCCTCTACAATTATTTACGATATTCAGTTATATAAAATTATCCTTTGGAAACAAATAGAATAGATTTTTAGGAACATACTACTAAGAGTGGATATCTACCTAGATTATTTAATTTTACATTTATATTCACCTATTCAGTATTAGCAATCGTGACGGTAATTGATGGACGAATCAATCACAGCGACACTTGGACTTGAATACGAAATTAATTAATCTACATGACTAAATAGTATTATAGAATTATACATATCGTAAGTTTGAAGTGAAAACCCAAATTTTTAACTTTGAATCCTAATCTGTGCGAAATAACGCACAGTGGAGAAGGCATGTGAGCCAACTCCATTTAATCAAGAGTCAATCAATCACATAAAAATAAGCTACAGATATGTGGTGAGTAGGATAAGATGTACACACACATACGCTCATACAAAAACACTATTGATAAGTGAATAATTAACAAGGTCAAAACTTGACTCAAAAAGAATGAATAAATCGGCCTGACCAGAGGCTAGAATGAGTTGTGTAGGCTTAGCATAACAACGGACACTATAAGTATGCATTTTGCCGAAAAAAATCAAATTATTATAAAGGAAGATGTCGTCACTGATCATAGTAACATATCTTAGTCTTAATTCAATATGTAATTATGACCCAATATATTTTGCTTTATTAAAAACATTTCAACAGTAAATAAAGTATATTTCACATCTCTAATATAAGTAATTTATCATTAACTGAAGAAGTCATCCTATGATTTTCAGTGAAATTATGGTGTTTTCGATCTGAATTCGCAACTTTTTTTGTAGTGTCGGTTATTATGTTAAGCCCATATACCTTATTCTAGCTTTCGGATAGCCCATTCGATTCATTCTACTTGAGTCACATTCTGACCTTGTTATTTATTCGCTTATCAATCTTGACTGTTTTCATATGAGCGCGTAGGTGTGTGTACATTTCTTATCCCATTACTCATCACATATGTGTAACTATAATTATTGATTAACCTTTGGCTTAATGGGTGTTGGCTTACCCGCCATCTTCACTCTGCGTCGTTTCTCTTCTCTCTATTCCACTCGCTTCATATACAAATATATGTATTCACAAGTCCATTCTCGTTATTTGACTTATCTAAATCCGTTATTGACTAACACGATTAAAGTCGATGATTATATACGAAGATAGGCGACATATATATTTCAACAACAATTATCGTTACAATCTCCTTATAGTCAGATCTCGGGCCACTAAAGTGGAGAGGCCTTTTGAAAACATCATCCGATCTAAATGACGACAAAATAAAGGGCCCCATAAAATTTTAATCAATAACATTTATATTTCAAGTGCTAATTAATATACTGAGTAGGCAAAATACTCGGTAGAGTTCAACGCTTTCGACCTATATCCTAATTCATTTTGTTTGGTACATATGTTCACATATTAATATAAACTTATAATCTTCTGAATCTTTTAAACCAATGATTTGATAAAAGATTTTGATACTTTATGGATAAATCAAATTATTTTTACCAAGGTTCTTATACACATATATGCTGAGAATTCTATATTGTACCGAAATATAATATTGAATGAAGCTATTAATAATAATAATACATATACATAATATAAATTGGTTGTAATGAAGGAACATTTAAGTGTGGACAACCAATACATTTTAATACAAAATTACAGAGTTCTTTCAGCAAATATAAAAATCAAAGGTTCATTATTTCATTTACAAAATATCTATAAGTTGTCTTAAACTTGATTATTCCTTCATTATCATAACAATTACTCTCTGTTCATCGTTCTCTTCGGTACAATCTTTCCAAACTTCTACTATCAGACATTCAATTTCTGATTAGTGTTATATACTACTTATGTCGATATAAATAGCATACAACATAATGTTTATTATATGTAACATTTCTTTTTTTAAACGATTGAATTATATATCTGATCATCACAAAGAAAAAATGTCAAATCACATACAGTAATGAATTACAGTTTGCTCAGAACATGTTTTAATATAATCACAGTTGATTGATCACTGGGTGGTGATCAATGTCATGTGTGTCAAGTCCTTATTTAGTGCAAATCGAATGCTATCGATCATGTTGCAATGTGGCCACCAGTCTAGGTGACTCGACATTGCGTACACTACATAGTGAGATTAGATGGTGGTTGGAGGTCTTCGACAAGAAACCCTGTGTGATACGGGATCGAATCCGCTAGGGAGCACCAGTTCCTTCAAGATTATAGGTACACCTTTTTGACGAGTGCCAAGTAGCTCGAAACCCGGGTCCAGGGTTTCTTGTCGACTACCTTCAACCACCATCTAATGTTTTAATATAATTTAATGTAACCTTTTTAAAAAAATGTTATCCCAGAACTTTATACACTAACTATATAGATATTAATAATGAATACAATTTTGTATAATAAATAATATGGTTTATTATAATTATATTAGTTGATTATATTCATTTGACTATTTTATCCTACATTACTTTCAACAACCAGTCAAAATACATAATTTAGGAAAGTTGAATTTCATTGGTTATTTAGGAAATGTTATATGAGAAAGTTTTTTGATGTTGTATCATAATAAAGTAATTTTATTTATTTGATAACAGCTTCAATTATATCATATATATGTATGATTATACATCTTAGAAGTAAAGTATATTGAGCCATATATCAATATTAAGTAAGTTCTTATTTCAATTGATTTGAATGAACCTTATGGAAAACAGATTGAATGTGTACTAAAGTACATTTGAACTGTATTACGTAATAATTGTGTACTTTTAATGTTGACAAATTTATATTTTCAGAATGGGTTTTGTGGAGATTTTTAGAATTTCACAGGTTGAAATCATGAGTCAATTGAAGCTAGACCACCATGGATGCCGGCTGAGTAGCCTAGTGGTTAAGTGCTCGCGCGCGAAACCAGTAGGTCCTGGGTTCGAATCCCGTGGGGTGAGGGGTCGTGGATGCGCACTGTTGAGGAGTCTCATACTAGGACGAAACGGCCGTCCAGTGCTTCCAGGTTTTCCAGAGTGGTCTAGCTTCAATTGACTTATGATTTCAACCTGTGAAATTTATATTTCTATAAATTATTCTCTGAGCTGATAATTCAAAGAACAAAACTTCATCAAGATCATCCATTTAAGTGATAAATCTTCTATATCATCACGTAACTATGATCACATATATTCTAATACGATGTATTTCATACTGATGGAAATTGAAAAGGAAGTTTTCTTTTTATGTTGGTTTAACATAGAAATAAGTGTTAACAAACTAAAATGGTTCATTTAGCTAAATCTGAAAAATATTCAGTTTTTCTTTTAACAACTCAATACATTGAGTTATGTATTCTAGTTTTTTTATAGAATCAATTCAGTTACCTTGAAAATGTTTTTCATCATACTTTCATAATGATCATTATATGTGTTATGGGATATACTTTTAGAGTCATTAACATTGTTTTCAATCTATGTAAATCGTATTTTGGTACAAATGAATATCTATGACACTTATTTAGTTATAAACTTATTTTTGCTACAAAACCATATAGAAACATGTGTGGATGATTTGATTTTATTAAATTTACGTAACATCCATTATAACGGTATATTATTCTAAAATAAAATGCCTATATTACGCAGAATATGGTCATTATTAATGATAGAGAAGGTATTTTGTGAACAACTCGAAAAAACTAAAATGACGTTTAAATCGTGGTTGCTTTTAAAAATTCGAAACAATCCTTTAGATCTATAAACTATCTTCAATAAATCACGTTCTACTTGTATTAATATGCATTTTGTGAATATATCTGTAGGAGTAACAAAATAGACTACTGATGTAAAAATACTAATATTTTATTTAAATGATTTATAAAATTATTATTTAATTACAATCTACTTACGCTTGATAACTGTCTTCTAATCAAGATAATGAAATCGTTAGATTCATATTAATAACATAGATGTCATAACTGTTTAAGATGAATTTATTTTAATTTAAATGTTTTAACAAGAGACTTTATTCAGAGTACCTTTTATTTTCTTATTTGGATTTTACTTTCCCTCCTCCCTCATCTAGGAAAAGTACTCATTTATTATGAAAGTAGCTAGAATAGATTGCTCAATAAATTAAGTTAAAAAAAGGGATATTTTCTTCCCTTTTTTTATTATCCAAGGGAACGTTAATTAAAAGTTAATAACAAGGAATTAAACACATTGAATTAAATACTCTTAAACAATCATAAATCACTGACTTATTTTTTAACTCATTACTAAATTGAATTCCTGACTTTTGTTTAGTTTATAAAATGAAATGAAAATAATCAATTTACTGAATGTATTTCTGATATAAACAATGGATGCTTGTATAAAAACATAAACAATAAATTCATTTTAACAAATACTAAGTTAATTGTTTATCTTTTCAATAGTTTGTGAACTATAATGTTTAAAACAACTTGTTCATATGTATATTAGTGTGTAAAGATTACATTTTTGATAGTTGATTGTAATAAGTCTGTTGGTCAGTCAGCTACAACGTAGGATCAGGAACATATATGCATCGATCCAAGTTGTCATACTCAATCAGCACAACAAGCGGAACACTAAATTCATAGAAGTTGTTAATTCAATGATGGTAATATATAGAAGAAAGATTGTATATAAGGATATAGTACAGGAAGAAAGAATAAGTACGTAAAAACAAAGATATAATGCAATTTTAATCTCACGGTTTAAGGGAAGACAAAGAGTGTATACACCGACGTCACTGTAATTGATTTTCAGCCATGTCACCCGCAATCTCCAACCATTGTTTATGATAGTCACGCAGACCCCAACCAAGTAGTCTGCATCTGCCAACACGGCTCAGACTAGAAGTTATTGACTTCAAGGACTGATGCCACGTTTTTGTTTGGCCACCCTTAACTTTCTTCCAGCCGTCTCTAACACTAGTCAGCATTGCGCGTCGTGATAAACGGTGTTCAGACATATGTATTAAGTGGCCCAACCATCTCAGTCGATGAAGATTTACAATCTCATCACCTGATTTACCATCATTCCCTAATACCCTGCGTCTAATCTCACTATCACTTACTCGGTGATTCCATCAGATGCGAGCAATACTTCCAAGACATCTGTGATCAAATTCTAATAGCTTTCGAATATTTTCTGCTCTTAATGGCCACGTTTCCCAGAACGAGCTGCTGTACAGCATACTCGTCCCTTAATTGATAGACGGATATCTTGCCTTTTATTCTTTATGATTGTAATAAAGAAAAATAGGACAAAACGCTTGTCGTAAATTCCACTGCTAGCCACTATCCATTTTGGCTTATAAAGCTTGAGTTAATGCCAGTATACCAATAAGAAATGGATCAATTACAGTCCTAAGTAACAGTGGGAAGATACAAACAAACAACATCAAGTGAATTTAAAATGGTTATTTGTTTCCATTTTTCAGTATTTAAGGTATCAATACTAAGGTTCGACTTCATAATTTCGAATAAACTGACCATTGATTAGATTTTTACAAATAAAATAATATATTTGTAATATCCCATTGAAAATAAAAATTAGATTTTCCAACATTTCATAACTCAATGTAAATCACTTATTGAAAGAACAAATAACCGAATCAGTTTTAATAGTCTATTTAAACTTGAATGAATTTTCATTTAGTTATTTATTCTCTGATGAAGTAACTTATACTGGGTTACGAAACATCAGAAAATCTAATTTTTTCTACTCATTAAGATATTACAAATATATTAATTTAAAAAATAATAAAAATCTGTATTTCTTTTACAGATTAATTTATTTTAATTCTATGTTTTAATTGCTTTTTCGATAATCTAGATATATATCAGTTAAGCTATTTATCATTAATAAATGATCAAATAAAAATGGTATTCTATTCCTACTTTTAAAAAAAGATAAACCAAATTAAATCAGGACTTCATATTTCACTGGGTAACAGAACGCAAAAAAAAAATAATAAAAATGTAGTTGGCTGAAAACGTTGTCGTTACCCTATTATTACAAATAATCGAAAATAATAAAAAAATATTTTTTTAATTTTATGTTTATCGTATAAAGGGTGTTATATTACATTTTTTCATTTTAAAAAAAATAAATGGAATATTAATGGCGTCTAAGTTGGATTATTTATCTTAACAACATACCATTAGTTTTTTTTAAATGAACATCAGGTGAGTATGAATTGATGAGACCAGAAAAAAGAAGATAAAATCAATGAAATCAACATTTAGAAATTAAAAACAAACATAAATCTGACCAATTTTGTGGTTAATTAATGTAAATGGGATAAAACAAACAAACAAATTGAAGTAAATATATGGAAAATGGTTTAGTAAAAAAATATTTAATTATATAACGTGAATTTAATTTTTCTTTTTTACTTAGTGCTAAAATATGAAATCTAAATCTTTCTGAAATTTACTCCTCATTATATGTAGACTGTGATCAATATTTATCCGGATTAGATTAGATTAAGCTAAGATGTATAGTGACTAGCAGTGGAATGTAGGATGAGCGCTTCGTCTTATTTAGGACTCGTCAGCTGGATGTACCTGCATTTCAGAATTGATGTTCAATCCGAGGCTCGAACTCAGTGACATTCACTTCCAAAGCCATCACGTTATCCACTTAGCTACTAATTCTTGATAGCCATCTGCTTTTGCAATAGGATATAAGTACATCCAGTTGACCAGTCTCAAATAGGACGAGACGCGCGTCTTGTATTTCACTGCTAGTCACTATCCATCTTTGTTTAAAAAGCTTGTGAGTTAATTCAGCATCGAGGCAATCCGCACGGGATGAAAATATGCTAACATGAAACTGATTGATTTCAGTCCTAAATAACGATGGGGAGGTACAAGTAAAACAACACCAAGTGTATATTAGATTAATTTAATGTCTGATATTAGCGTCAGTAATGAAAAGTCGATGAAGCTTGTTCATAATTAAAATAGAATAACCTGAATAAAGTAATATCTATAATAAATAAATTTTAATGTATTTGTAATATCCCAATGAATAGAAAAATTATATTTTCTGGTGCTTCGTAACTCAGTGTATGCTACTTCTTCAGAGAATAAAAGTTGGAAGTGATATCTAGAATATACAACTTGATAAATTTCTTTAAAATACCATTTAATTAACCTGGATTCAATTCAATTTGAAATGTGTGTATTTTACGGAGAAGTTTACTTCCAAATCATCTATGACTTATCTTGATTTTATTAATTACACTTTGCTTTGATTGTATTTCTGAAATGAAACGAATGTCATATTAGTAACAAGCATCAAAGTGTATTTCATCTAATGTATGTCATCTTATTTTGATAGTATCCAATATCCGCAAATTTTCTGATACATATACATATAGTGGTTGCTTTGACCGGTGTATTTTTAAAAAAATGATTACATATGAGTTTTTCGTTCTACTCATAAGCGATCAGAATTAATTGTTCTAAACGTTTTGTCTATGATAAATACTTTATATACATAGAATACATCATATGTATTTTGAACTGTACTGCACATTAAGATAAATGTTCAATGTGAAGTGTCGGTCATTATGTTAAGCCCATATACCTTATTCTAGCCTTCGGATAGCTCAGTCTATTCATTCTACTTGAGTCACATTCTCTGA